TATATATATATATATATATATATATTATATATATATAATATAAATTATAAATATAATATATAAACGGCATGGGGTGTCAGTACAGCCGAAGGCAGAAGGTGGTGGGGTTGTTGTTATTCTATCTAACAAAAAAACATTTTAACTGAGCTGCAGCAAATACCCGCATAACAAGCAGCAGCAGCAGCAGCAGCAGCAGAAGCAGCAGCAGCAGCAGCAGCAGCAGCAGCGTGAACCGCAGCAACAGCACGAACAAGAGCTGCAGCAACAGCAGCACCAGCAACAGCAGCAGCAGCAGCAGCAGCAGCAGCAGCAGCAGCATAACAACAACGTAAACGAACCCCAGCTGGGGGCAAATGAATGCATGCAGCAGCCTCTTACTTTCAGGTGTACGTACACCTCATTTGCTGCTGTTTGTTATATATGAGTATTGTTGGGGTGTATGTACACATAGAGGAAATAAGAGAGATATATATGCATTTGTTAGCTTTCTTCTCAGCTTTTTTGCTTCTAGTTTGTGCTGTATCTCCATTTATTTTATTTATAATCCGAAATTTATTTAAAAAAACAAAAGAAGACGCAGCAACGGGGTGTATAGGCAGGTAGCAGCAGGCATAGGGGGTGGTGGGCGGGGGCGGGGGATAGTAGTATGCACACAATAGAGTAAAGGTTAGTTTTTTTTTGTAAAAAAAACAATTAAATAATTTAATTTATTTATTTAAATCATAAAAACAACAAAAAATAAAACAAAGATGCACACGGAGGCCCCGCAGGGGGCCCCCCCCCCCTAAACCATAGGAGGAATATAGGGGTGCTGCAGCAGCAACAAAAAGAGAAAACAATTAGCTGCAGCAGCAGCAATATATAATAAAACTGAGATGAATACGAATCTATATTTAAAAGTTTGTTATGTTGCTGCTGTAGCAGCAGCTGTGCTGCAGTTGTAGGCGTTGCTGCTGCTGCTGCTGCGCCTGCTGCGGCAGCAGCAGCAGCACCAGCGGAACCACCGAGGGCCCCCCGCCCACGCCAGCAGCAGCAGCAGCAGCTGCTGCTGCAGCAGCAGCAGCAGCAGCAACTCTTTTTTTGCCCCCTTCACTTCTGGCGTATCTGTTTGAACTGTTTGTTTGGTTGTTTAACAGAGACACAACAGCTCTGCGGTTGCTGCTGTTCCCTTCCCCACTGCAGCAGCAGCAGCAGCAGCAGCAGCAGCAGCAGCAGCAACAGCAACAGAGGCCCCCTCCCTCCGCAGCAGCAACAGCAGCAGCAGCAGCAGCAGCAACAGCAGCAGCTCAGCCTTCCTTCCTCCATCCATGGCTCTCTCTTCTCTTTAATTATCGTATTACCTTCGCCTCCTATTGAGGGGCTTCTCTCTCTCTAGCAGCAGCAGCAGCAGCAGCAGCAGCAGCAGCAGCAGCGACTGCAGCAACTGCAACAACTGCAGCAGCAGCAGCAGCAACATCTGCTGCACCGCTAAGCAGCAGCTTCTTCCTCTACAGGCAGCCCACGCTGCTGCCTGCTGCTGCTGTGAGCCTTCCTAATTCTCTCCCCCCACCAACTGCTGCAGCAGCAGCTGCTGCTGCAGCAGCAGTAGTAGTAGTAGTAGCAGTAGTAGTAGCAGCAGCAGCAGCAGCAGCAGCAGTGCTGCACCTGGCTCTGCAACGCAGCTATAGAGGAGGCTGCTGCCTCTCCATCCGCAGTTGCTGGCGGCTGCAGCATCGACAGCAGCAGCAGCAGCTGCAGCAGCAGCAGCAGCAGCAGCAGGAGCAGCAGGAGCAGCATTAGCTGCAGCAGATCCTTGAGGCGACGTGGCGTCCCCTGCTGCTGTGTGTGCAATCCCACACAGCAGCAGCAGCAGCAGCAGCAGCAGCAGCAGCAGCAGCAGCAGCCGGCTAATGGCTCGGCAGCCGCTGCAGTCCCCTTTCGTCCCCTCTCTCCCGGCGGTGACGTGTGGGGCGCTGCAGCAGGATCGTGCTGCTGCTGCAGCAACTGCAGCAGCAGCAGCAGCAGACGTTACAGGCACATCTGCTGCTGCTCCTGTAGGGGACGCGGGAGCCCCTTCCCCCTCAGGGGCCCCAGCAGCAGCAGCAGCAGCAGCAGCAGCAGCAGCAGCAGCAGCAGCAGCAGAGCCAGAACCAGATCCAGAACCTGCAGCATCAACAGCAGAGCCGCCACCAGCACCACCACCAGCAGCATCAGCAGCAGCAGCAGCAGCAGCAGCAGCAGCAGCAAGTCTCTCCCCTGTCGATTGCCCTTTAGCTGCTGACGCTTCGGGGCCCCACACGGACCGCAGCTTTCCTGCTGCTGCTGCTGCAGCACCTCCTGGATCAGCAGCAGCAACAGCAGCAGCAGCAGCACCAACTGACTTGCTGCTGTCTTTTGGGGGCGGCCTGGTGGGGGACGC